AAGGAAAAGAATGAAAACCCTGTTAAAACAAATGAAAACTCTGTTAGGTCCGAAGAGCTAATGGAACTTACAAAATAGGAGAAGGAAGAGTGTTGCCATCAACTAACCGCATTTATATATTCAAGTTAAGAAACACCCTCACAATGGCGTTCTATCATTACAGAACAACTGCACGAAATACTAATTTCCCATCCCCCCCCCATTACCCGTTCAAACCTCCAAATTACCCAAAATAGGTAATTTCACCCCTATGAGAACCACTGGTATATAACGATTCTTTTGCAGCTTGTCTCGCAGAATATGGGACGATTGCATTAGATCTATTGCAGAGTGTGATAATCCCCCCACCGATATATCTCGTGCATCGCCATTTTAATCTCCTTTACCAGTTCTGGATTCATACAGAGGTGAGTGAGATGTCTTCATCATATCGTATCACTTCATATCATAGCGCAGTATAACACAAGTTAATTTTAGACAATAGAATCACTGGGCCCACTGGAATACATCCTGAACACACCGTCGCATCATCGCGTTCATCATGGTCGTAATCCGTATTGTATTGATAAGAATTATGGAGGGACGTTNTGCGATTGATCAATCAAACTGATCGCGCTTGATCTAGTAGTTCATTCGAACTGATAGGATTGTTTGTCACTATCACATCTTAAAGCTATTCGAGTTCAAATCTCTGGGATGGGATAAAGGACGCTTATTGGACGAGAACGGATCAGCACTCTTCCCAGGATTTATGAACAAAGTGAAGGCAGCCCTATATCCACCTGGTTATTTCATTGGTAGTCGCACGAAACAGTTCTTCTTATGGAGAAGTATGGTGGATGCAACTGAAGGCGTTCCACAGGTCTGATATATGATAAACATCTAATGTATATGATAGTAACGGTGAATAAAACTAATTGCAGGTGAATAAAATAGATAATCCCAAGTATAACCCTCCACTGAGCACCTCATCGAAGACATACAGTATCATTCAATTCTTCATCATATTGAGTATCTTCATTCAATTTTCAAAACACCGTTCGGATCTGGCCTATTCAACCAGTTTCATTTATATCATATTGATCGTTAGCACCATGCAAACTCTTGGATATTTCTTCGATAAAGGGTTCGATTATTATCATTATTATTACTTTTACTATTATTATTTTTTTACTGTTGTTATTATTATTGTTACTATTATTATCATTATCATGATTATTATTAATTGTGTATTTTACATGATCAATTGCAGACGATCTGCGCGAAGCATCGAGATCATCCGTCTACTGTTATCCGTTCTCATAATGCTTTTCATATTCAATGATCTTATTTATTCATTTATTTTCTCATTATCTCTGATTCATTTGGTTATTTTTGTTGATGGTAATTAATTTATTAATATTCATACCACAAATAAACACTTATTTGATGATTATCACACGTATGTATGTGCATACACAGCTTTGTACATCACAACAAACATTCAGTCCATGAACGTTAAAACCGGATTCAGATAATTTTATGGTATTTCGACAACGAAATTTCATATTGTTATTTTCTTTACATATGAACATCATTTTA